ACTCTACATGTTACCTCACTGTGATACACGTGACAGAACAAGGTCACTCTACATGTTACCTCACTGTGATACACGTGACAGAACAAGGTCATCCTACATGTTACCTCACTGTGATACACGTGACAGAACAAGGTCACTCTACATGTTACCTCACTGTGATACATGTGAGAGAACAAGGCTACTCTACACGATACCTCACTGTCGATACACGTGACAGAACAAGGTCATCCTACATGTTACCTCACTGTGATACACGTGACAGAACAAGGCCGTTCTACATGTTACCTCACTGTGATACACGTGACATAACAAGGCCACTCTACACGTAACCTCACTGTGATACATGTGACAGAACAAGACCACTCTACATGTTACCTCACTGTGATATGGGTGACAGAACAAGGCTACTCTACATGTTACCTCACTTTGATACACGTGACAGAACAAGGCCACTCACATGTTACATCACTGTGATACATGTGACAGAACAAGGTCACTCTACATGTTACCTCACTGTGATACATGTGACAGAACAAGGTCACTCTACATGTTACCTCACTTTCATACACGTGACAGAAGAAGGTCATCCTACATGTTACCTCACTGTGATACATGTGACAGAACAAGGCCACTCTACATGTTACCTCACTGTGATACACGTGACAGAACAAGGTCATCCTACATGTTACCTCACTGTGATACACGTGACAGAAGAAGGTCATCCTACATGTTACCTCACTGTGATACATTTGACAGAACAAGACCACTCTACATATTACCTCACTGATACACGTGACAGTACACGGCCACCCTACATGTTACCTCACTGTGATACACGTGACAGAACAAAGTCATCCTACATGTTACCTCACTGTGATACATGTGACAGAACAAGGTCACTCTACATGTTACCTCACTGTGATACACGTAACAGAACAAGGCCACTCTATATGTTACCTCACTGTGATACACGTGAGAGAACAAGGCCACTCTACACGTAACCTCACTGTGATACACGTGACAGAACAAGGTCTCTCTACATGTTACCTCACTGTGATGCACGTGAGAGAACAAGGCCACTCTACATGTTACCTCACTGTGATACACGTGACAGAACAAGGTCACTCTACATGTTACCTCACTGTGATACACGTGACATAACAAGGCCACTCTACACGTAACCTCACTGTGATACATGTGACAGAACAAGACCACTCTACATGTTACCTCACTGTGATATAGGTGACAGAACAAGGCTACTCTACATGTTACCTCACTTTGATACACGTGACAGAACAAGGCCACTCACATGTTACATCACTGTGATACATGTGACAGAACAAGGTCACTCTACATGTTACCTCACTGTGATACATGTGACAGAACAAGGTCACTCTACATGTTACCTCACTATCATACACGTGACAGAAGAAGGTCATCCTACATGTTACCTCACTGTGATATACGTGACAGAACAAGGCCACTCTACATGTTACCTCACTGTGATACACGTGACAGAAGAAGGTCATCCTACATGTTACCTCACTGTGGTACACGTGACAGAACAAGGCCACTCACATGTTACATCACTGTGATACATGTGACAGAACAAGGTCACTCTACATGTTACCTCACTGTGATACATGTGACAGAACAAGGTCACTCTACATGTTACCTCACTATCATACACGTGACAGAAGAAGGTCATCCTACATGTTACCTCACTGTGATATACGTGACAGAACAAGGCCACTCTACATGTTACCTCACTGTGATACACGTGACAGTACACGGCCACCCTACATGTTACCTCACTGTGATACACGTGACAGAACAAGGTCATCCTACATGTTACCTCACTGTGATACATTTGACAGAACAAGGTCATCCTACATGTTACCTCACTGTGATACATGTGACAGAAGAAGGTCATCCTACATGTTACCTCACTGTGATACATGTGACAGAACAAGGTCACTCTACATGTTATCTCACTGTGATACACGTGACAGAACAAGGCGTCTCTACAAGTTACCTCACAGTGATACACGTGACAGAACAAGGTCAATCTAAATGTTACACCACTATGATACACGTTAAACAAAGTCATCCTACATATTACCTTACTGATACACGTGACAGAACAAGGTCACTCTATATGTTACCTCACTGTGATACACGTGACAGAACAAAGTCATCCTACATGTTACCTCACTGTGATACACGTGGCAGAACAAGGCCACTCTACATGTTACCTCACTGTGATGCACGTGACAGAACAAGGTCTCTCTACATGTTACCTCACTTTGATACACGTGACAGAACAAGGTCACTCTACATGTTACCTCACTGTGATGCACGTGAGAGAACAAGGTCATCCTACATGTTACCTCACTGTGATACACGTAACAGAACAAGGCCACTCTACATGTTACCTCACTGTGATACATGTGACAGAACAAGGCCACTATACATATTACCTCACTGTGATACACGTGACAGAACAAGGCCACTCTACACGTTACCTCACTGTGATACACGTGACAGAACAAGGTCATCGTACATGTTACCTCACTGTGATACACGTGACAAAACAAGGCCACTCTACATGTTACCTCACTATCATACACGTGACAGAACAAGGTCTCTCTACATGTAACCTCACTGTGATACACGTGACAGAACAAGGCCACTCTAAATGTTATCTCACTGTTGATACACGTGACAGAACAAGGTCATCCTACATGTTACCTCACTGTGATACATTTGACAGAACAAGGTCATCCTACATGTTACCTCACTGTGATACATGTGAGAGAACAAGGCCACTCTACATGTTACCTCACTGTGATACACGTGACAGAACAAGGTCATCCTTCATGTTACCTCACTGTGATACACGTGACAGAACAAGGTCATCCTTCATGTTACCTCACTGTGGTACACGTGACAGAACAAGGTCATCCTACATGTTACCTCACTGTGATACACGTGACAGAACAAGGTCACTCTACATGTTACCTCACTGTGATACATGTGAGAGAACAAGGCCACTCTACGCGTTACCTCACTGTGATACACGTGACAGAACAAGGTCATCGTACATGTTACCTCACTGTGATACACGTGACAAAACAAGGCCACTCTACATGTTACCTCACTGTGATGCACGTGACAGAACAAGGTCTCTCTACATGTAACCTCACTGTGATACACGTGACAGAACAAGGCCACTCTAAATGTTATCTCACTGTTGATACACGTGACAGAACAAGGTCATCCTACATGTTACCTCACTGTGATACATTTGACAGAACAAGGTCATCCTACATGTTACCTCACTGTGATACATGTGACAGAACAAGGCCACTCTACATGTTACCTTACTGTGATACACGTGACAGAACAAGGTCATCCTTCATGTTACCTCACTGTGATACACGTGATAGAACAAGGTCATCCTTCATGTTACCTCACTGTGGTACACGTGACAGAACAAGGTCATCCTACATGTTACCTCACTGTGATACACGTGATAGAACAAGGTCACTCTACATGTTACCTCACTGTGATACACGTGACAGAACAAGGTCACTCTACATGTTACCTCACTGTGATACACGTGACAGAACAAGGTCATCCTACATGTTACCTCACTGTGATACACGTGACAGAACAAGGTCACTCTACATGTTACCTCACTGTGATACATGTGAGAGAACAAGGCTACTCTACACGATACCTCACTGTCGATACACGTGACAGAACAAGGTCATCCTACATGTTACCTCACTGTGATACACGTGACAGAACAAGGCCGTTCTACATGTTACCTCACTGTGATACACGTGACATAACAAGGCCACTCTACACGTAACCTCACTGTGATACATGTGACAGAACAAGACCACTCTACATGTTACCTCACTGTGATATAGGTGACAGAACAAGGCTACTCTACATGTTACCTCACTTTGATACACGTGACAGAACAATGCCACTCACATGTTACATCACTGTGATACATGTGACAGAACAAGGCCACTCTACATGTTACCTCACTGTGATACATGTGACAGAACAAGGTCACTCTACATGTTACGTCACTTTCATACACGTGACAGAAGAAGGTCATCCTACATGTTACCTCACTGTGATACATGTGACAGAACAAGGCCACTCTACATGTTACCTCACTGTGATACACGTGACAGAACAAGGTCATCCTACATGTTACCTCACTGTGATACATTTGACAGAACAAGACCACTCTACATATTACCTCACTGATACACGTGACAGTACACGGCCACCCTACATGTTACCTCACTGTGATACACGTGACAGAACAAAGTCATCCTACATGTTACCTCACTGTGATACACGTGACAGAACAAGGTCTCTCTACATGTTACCTCACTGTGATGCACGTGAGAGAACAAGGTCACTCTACACGTTACCTCACTGTGATACAAGTGACAGAACAAGGTCATCCTACATGTTATCTGAATGTGATAAACGTGACAGTACAAGGCGTCTCTACACGTTACCTCACAGTGATACACGTGACAGAACAAGGTCAATCTACATGTTACACCACTATGATACACGTTAAACAAAGTCATCCTTCATATTACCTCACTGATACACGTGACAGAACAAGGTCAATCTAAATGTTACACCACTGTGATACACGTTAAACAAAGTCATCCTACATATTACCTCACTGATACACGAGACAGAACAAGGTCAATCTAAATGTTACACCACTATGATACACGTTAAACAACGTCGTCCTTCATATTATCTCACTGATACACGTGCCAAAACGAGCTTGCACCTGACAGGAAACATACATGTTCTGGGTAAGATTCAGCACCGGCGACAGGACACTAGTAATGATACAATGATAAGATTAAACACAAATGATAAAAATACGATTGTCGGATTATACGGAATAAAAGTCTAGATATTCTAACGAGGGTATTGAAAAACCTCACCATCGTTGGAACTGCCGTTGGAACACACAAGCACTTGAACTTGTATGAACACCTTGTAACAACTGTCTTTGAGACCAACAAACACCATGTATTTTGTATGGACACGATGGGATAGGTTGAACGCTGCCTGTCTGCATGTAGTGTCTCACATAAACAAACGAATGAATGAATAACACCGAGATGACACATGATGCATGACATAGCTAGCCGTGTGCGTTGGGCAAACATAAAAAATGAAGTGCTCCGTGATACTTTCCGAATTCCGGGTGCAATCTGATACCCGGACACAGAGGTTGGAATTAAGGTGATGGGGTTTTGGGGGCAGGGAGAGGGTGAGGGAGTAGGAGAGGGAGAGGAGAGCTTGTGGGGTATGCACCTCACACGGTTTCTATATACTATACAGTCACACATAGTGGACGTGAGCCTGTGGCTATAACTACTAGTAACTACTAGTACTAATGTAGGTTACAGGGTGGCGTTTGATGGGAGTCTATGTACACATTAAACCCCACCCCCTCACCTACATGTACTTGTATACTTGTACATAGCCTCCATTTACACCCCACCCTCTCACCTACTTGTATACTTGTACACAATCTTCCTTTACAACCCCACCCTGTCACCTACTTGTATACTTGTACATATAGTCTCCCTTTACCACCCCACCCTGTCACCTACTTGTATACTTGTACACAGTCTCCCTTTACCATCCAACCCTCTCACCTACTTGTATACTTGTACATAGTCGGCCTTTACACCCCACCCTGTCACCTTCTTGTATACTTGTACATGGTCTCCCTTTACCACTCCACCCTCTCACCTATTTGTATACTTGTACATGGTCGGCCTTTACCACTCCACCCTCTCAACTACTTGTATACTTGTACATAGTCTCCCTTTACCACCCCACCCTCTCACCTATTTGTATACTGTACATAGTCTTCCTTTACCAACCCACCCTCTCACCTATTTGTATACTTGTACATAGTCCCCCTTTACCACACCACCCTCTCACCTACTTGTATACTTGTACATAGTCGGCCTTTACCACACCACCCTCTCACCTACTTGTATACGTGTACATTGTCTCCCTTTATCAACCCACCCTCTCACCTATTTGTATACTTGTACATAGTCTCCCTTTACCATCCCACCCTCTCACCTATTTGTATACGTGTACATAGTCTCCATTTACCACCCCACCCTCTCACCTACTTGTATACTTGTACATAGCCTCCCTTTACCACCCCACCCTCTCACCTATTTGTATACTTGTACATAGTCGGCCTTTACACCCCGGCCTCTCACCTACTTGTATACTTGTACATAGTCTCCCTTTACACCCCACCCTCTCACCTACTTGTATACTTGTACATAGTCTCCCTTTACCACCCCACCCTCTCACCTACTTGTATACTTGTACATAGTCTCCCTTTACAACCCCACCCTCTCACCTATTTGTATACTTGTACATAGTCTCCCTTTACAACCCCACCCTCTCACCTATTTGTATACTTGTACATAGTCTCCCTTTACCACCCCACCCTCTCACCTACTTGTATACTTGTACATAGTCGGCCTTTACACCCCACCCTCTCACCTATTTGTATACGTGTACATAGTCTCCCTTTACCACCCCACCCTCTCACCTATTTGTATACTTGTACATAGTCTCCCTTTACCACCCCACCCTCTCACCTACTTGTATACTTGTACATAGTCGGCCTTTACACTTCACCCTCTCACCTACTTGTATACTTGTACATTGGCTCCCTTTACCACCCCACCCTCTCACCTACTTGTATACTTGTACATTGGCTCCCTTTACCACCCCACCCTCTCACCTATTTGTATACTTGTACATAGTCTCCCTTTACCACCCCACCCTCTCACCTACTTGTATACTTGTACATAGTCGGCCTTTACACCCCACCCTCTCACCTACTTGTATACTTGTACATAGTCGGCCTTTACACTTCACCCTCTCACCTACTTGTATACTTGTACATTGGCTCCCTTTACCACCCCACCCTCTCACCTACTTGTATACTTGTACATTGGCTCCCTTTACCACCCCACCCTCTCACCTACTTGTATACTTGTACATTGGCTCCCTTTACCACCCCACCCTCTCACCTACTTGTATACTTGTACATAGTCTCCATTTACCACCCCACCCTCTCACCTATTTGTATACTTGTACATAGTCTCCCTTTACCACCCCACCCTCTCACCTACTTGTATACTTGTACATAGTCTCCCTTTACCACCCCACCCTCTCACCTATTTGTATACTTGTACATAGTCTCCATTTACCACCCCACCCTCTCACCTATTTGTATACTTGTACATAGTCTCCATTTACCACCCCACCCTCTCACCTATTTGTATACGTGTACATAGTCTCCCTTTACCACCCCACCCTCTCACCTATTTGTATACTTGTACATAGTCTCCATTTACCACCCCACCCTCTCACCTATTTGTATACTTGTACATAGTCGGCCTTTACACCCCACCCTCTCACCTACTTGTATACTTGTACATAGTCTCCCTTTACAACCCAACCCTCTCACCTACTTGTATACTTGTACATAGTCGGCCTTTACACCCCACCCTCTCACCTACTTGTATACTTGTACATAGTCTCCCTTTACCACCCCACCCTCTCACCTATTTGTATACTTGTACATAGTCGGCCTTTACACCCCACCCTCTCACCTATTTGTATACTTGTACATAGGCTCCCTTTACACCCCACCCTCTCACCTACTTGTATACTTGTACACAGTCTCCCTTTACCATCCAACCCTCTCACCTACTTGTATACTTGTACATAGTCGGCCTTTACACCCCACCCTCTCACCTATTTGTATACGTGTACATAGTCTCCATTTACCACCCCACCCTCTCACCTATTTGTATACTTGTACATAGTCTCCATTTACCACCCCACCCTCTCACCTACTTGTATACTTGTACATAGTCTCCCTTTACAACCCACCCTCTCACCTATTTGTATACTTGTACATAGGCTCCCTTTACACCCCACCCTCTCACCTACTTGTATACTTGTACACAGTCTCCCTTTACCATCCAACCCTCTCACCTACTTGTATACTTGTACATAGTCGGCCTTTACACCCCACCCTCTCACCTATTTGTATACGTGTACATAGTCTCAATTTACCACCCCAGCCTCTCACCTACTTGTATACGTGTACATAGTCTCCCTTTACACCCCACCCTCTCACCTACTTGTATACTTGTACATAGTCTCCATTTACCACACCACCCTCTAACCTACTTGTATACTTGTACATAGCCTCCCTTTACCACCCCACCCTCTCACCTACTTGTATACTTGTACATAGTCTCCATTTACCACACCAGCCTCTCACCTATTTGTATACTTGTACATAGTCTCCCTTTACTACACCACCCTCTCACCTATTTGTATACGTGTACATAGTCTCCATTTACCACCCCACCCTCTCACCTATTTGTATACTTGTACATAGTCTCCCTTTACACCCCACCCTCTCACCTACTTGTATACTTGTACATAGTCGGCCTTTACACCCCACCCTCTCACCTACTTGTATACTTGTACATAGTCTCCCTTTACAACCCCACCCTCTCACCTACTTGTATACTTGTACATAGTCGGCCTTTACACCCCGGCCTCTCACCTACTTGTATACTTGTACATAGTCTCCCTTTACCACCCCACCCTCTCACCTACTTGTATACTTGTACATAGTCAGCCTTTACACCCCACCCTCTCACCTATTTGTATACGTGTACATAGTCTCCCTTTACACCCCACCCTCTCACCTATTTGTATACTTGTACATAGTCTCCCTTTACAACCCAACCCTCTCACCTACTTGTATACTTGTACATAGTCGGCCTTTACACCCCACCCTCTCACCTATTTGTATACGTGTACATAGTCTCCCTTTACACCCCACCCTCTCACCTATTTGTATACTTGTACATAGTCTCCCTTTACAACCCAACCCTCTCACCTATTTGTATACTTGTACATAGCCTCCCTTTACCACCCCACCCTCTCACCTACTTGTATACTTGTACATAGTCGGCCTTTACCACCCCACCCTCTCACCTACTTGTATACTTGTACATAGTCTCCCTTTACCACCCCACCCTCTCACCTACTTGTATACTTGTACATAGTCTCCCTTTACCACCCCACCCTCTCACCTATTTGTATACTTGTACATAGTCTCCCTTTACCACCCCACCCTCTCACCTATTTGTATACTTGTACATAGTATCCCTTTACCACCCCACCCTCTCACCTATTTGTATACTTGTACATAGTCGGCCTTTACACCCCACCATCTCACCTATTTGTATACTTGTACATAGTCTCCCTTTACCACCCCACCCTCTCACCTATTTGTATACTTGTACATAGTCTCCCTTTACCACCCCACCCCCTCACCTATTTGTATACTTGTACATAGTCTCCCTTTACAACCCACCCTCTCACCTATTTGTATACTTGTACATAGTCTCCCTTTATCACCCCACCCTCTCACCTATTTGTATACTTGTACATAGTCGGCCTTTACACCCCACCCTCTCACCTACTTGTATACTTGTACATAGTCGGCCTTTACACCCCACCCTCTCACCTACTTGTATACTTGTACATAGTCTCCCTTTACAACCCCACCCTCTCACCTACTTGTATACTTGTACATAGTCGGCCTTTACACCCCACCCTCTCACCTACTTGTATACTTGTACATAGCCTCCCTTTACCACCCCACCCTCTCACCTACTTGTATACTTGTACATAGTCGGCCTTTACACCCCACCCTCTCACCTACTTGTATACTTGTACATTGGCTCCCTTTACCACCCCACCCTCTCACCTACTTGTATACTTGTACATAGTCTCCCTTTACAACCCCACCCTCTCACCTACTTGTATACTTGTACATAGTCGGCCTTTACACCCCACCCTCTCACCTACTTGTATACTTGTACATAGTCTCCCTTTACCACCCCACCCTCTCACCTACTTGTATACTTGTACATTGGCTCCCTTTACCACCCCACCCTCTCACCTACTTGTATACTTGAACATAGCCTCCCTTTACCACCCCACCCCACCCTCTCACCTACAGTGT